GGGGATTGTGCCATGCGTCATGGTTGCTGAACAGGTACCACAGACACGCCGCGATAGGGTCAACCCCTTACGAAAGTGTCGTTGGTAGACCTTACCTTGGGAAGATTGCCCCATTCGGAGAGTATGTGTATGCGCTGAAGAAACCAGAGAAGAAAGGAACAGCAAATTGGATTGGAGGAATCTATCTTGGTAAGAACTCTCAGGATATGCACTTGGTAGGAGTTGAAGACGGAATCTTGGCAACAGGATCTGTAAGGCGAATCGCCACTGGATGGAGAAAGGAACCAGTACTGAAGCTGAGTGTAACTCCATGGAACCCCAAGAAGCCAAAAGGAACGTATACCAGACAGCCGTTACCAGCCCCAGCATTGGCAAGTATCGCAGAGGAAGAAGGAACAGCACAGGAACCCGTAGTTCGTGCGGAAGATCGAGGACAGTCCCAAGAGGAACAGGTCGAGGAACTGTTGGATCTGTTAGACACAAGCGAAGCCTCAAGCGGAGGCAGGGCCTCAAGTGGAGGCAGGGCCTCAAACGGAGGTATGACCAGCACGGGATCTAGTTCTCATTCCCGGAGTTCAATTTCAATGCAGGACGCACCACCTGGAGAACCAGAAGGACGTGTCAGTGACGATACTTTGTTAGAAGACCTCAGGAAGAGAGCTGTAGAAGGAGGACAGGAAGTAGAAGGATCGCCGAAGAAGTCACGAGAAATGCCATCATCACCATCATCGCCCTCAAGAGGAATCTACCCGCCTTTGTTCGCAGGCAGGGTATCTCAGGAAGATGATCCCTTTCACTGGGATGAACATGAGGATCTCACAGCAGTAGAAGGAGAAGACGTGGAGTATGAAGATCTCATGGAAGAAGAGATGGAAGAAGTTCCAAAGAACGACCAAGGAGAAACACCACCCGAGCTAAGTCCAGAGGAACTGGATACCTTGGATCAGGAAGCAGCCGTGGAAGAATTGAATCGCCTCAGTAAGCTAGGAGTAATCGAGGAGTTCATGGAGGCGAACGCAACAGGTGATGAAAAACGTATGGATTTGCGCGAAGTTTACGACTGGAGGCATCGTGACGGACGCTGGAAAAGGAGGTGCCGTGAGTGGCCAGGGAGTACAGGGCAGGTGCGAGCAGCACAGCTGAGACATTCAGCCCAACTGCAAGCAATGCCGCGTCGCGCCTAGTCTTGTTGTTACACCTGGTGTACAACTGGGTCGTAGTCGTACTTGATATAAAGGACGCGTACCTTCAGGTCCCGCAGCAAGAAGAGGTGCTAATCACAATTAGTGATTGGATGAAGCGAGCCGCGAACCTGAAAGAAGGAATAGTGTGGAGGCTCAAGAGATGCTTACCTGGTCAAAGAAACGCCGCAACAAGGTGGTATGAACATTTGCGGAGTATACTTGAGAAACTGGGATTCGTGTTCTCAGTACATGTACCCGCATTAGCTAGACACACCACAAGGAAGCTGTGTATCTCTATCCATGTAGATGACGAACTACTAGCAGGAGAAAAGGAGGAAACCATTTGGTTGGTAGAAGAATTGGAGAAAGTATTCAAGGTGGAGAAAGAAGGACCATACCCAGCGAATGGAGTCGGAAGTGGAGAAGAGATGCGATATCTCAAAAGGAAGTATGTCTTCACCCGAGAAGGAATTGTTGTCCAACCGAATGAGAAGTATGTTCGGAAGCTCATTGAGTTGTATGACCTTGGAAAGTTAAAGAGTAAGGCCACACCAGAGCATGTGGATCTGGTGAAGGAAGACCGGACCAAGGAGTTGAGTGCTGAAGAGACAAAACGGTTTAGATCTGGACTCGGATCTATTTTGTACCTTGCACAGGACAGGATTGACATTCAGTATGCCTCAAAGTGTTTGGCATCAAGTATGTCGAAGCCGACGTTGCAGGCACTAAAGTGTCTGAAGCACTTGATTCTGTATTTGAGTGGAACAGCCACAAGGGCTACTCTTTTACCGTATACCGAAATCGGAAGCCGGTTGATCACGAAGTTGAATGGCCAAGAAGACGAAGAAATTGCCAAGGATGCAGGACATGTGGTGGAAGCGTATTCGGACAGTGATTGGGCAAGCCTGAAGACCCCGGACAGAGCCCGAAGGAAGAGTACCTCATCAGGAATCATTGTACTGAACGGAGTGCAAGTGTTATCATTTTCTAGGACTCAGAAGGCCACATCATCATCAAGCTGTGAAGCAGAGTTGTATGCACTAAGTGGAACTTGTGGAGAAGCAATCCTAGTCGGAAGGCTATTTGAGTTCCTAGTAAACGCGCCTGTACGCGTGGAGATACGGTGCGATTCATCATCTGCACGACAGTGGAGTCAACGACGAGGAGTTGGACGTTTGAAGCATGTGGACGTTAGGCTGTGTCAACTGCAAGATTGGGTGCGAGACAATCTTGTAAAACTTGGTACAGTGCGAACCGCGCTAAATGTGGCGGATCTGAACACCAAGAAGTTGTCATATGCCCGAAGGTCATTTCTACTGTATCACTTGTCTCAAGTAGAGTATGATGAAGAAGGAAACTTGGAGTATACTGGAGAGAAAGAGTATGAAAAACATGAACAAGAGAAGAGATTGAAGGAGTATGTCGGAAGTGGACAAATCAAGAGTCTCATTAGAGCCATACAGGTATTTCATTTGATGAAGCCGATTACCGCAGTATTGCTCAAGGAGGAAGTATCTGACGCCCAAGTAGAGACCTGTGGAACCTTGGAAAAAGGTATGAGCGCCATGGACGGAAACTTCACGAAGTTTGAAGTTGGAATGATGGTATGCGTATTTTTGCTCGCAGTGCCGTATGTTATCACGGTATGGACAAAGCTTGGAAGAATTTTGGAAAACCTGCGAGGTATTGGACGTGTGAAGATCAGTACGGGAAGCCGTGCACGTGTATATCACCGTGCTACTTGCTGGCATGCCCAAGGGTCACACAAGAAGCCAGGCCGGTGGGTCTGGAAGGACGTACAAGAAGCCGAGCAAGATGGCTTTAGGGCATGTTGGATTTGTTTCCCAGAGACGAAACCAGAAGGAAGCTCGAGAAGACGCCGAGAGCGCGCAGAACCGCCGACCCCAGACGAAAGCGACTGGGAAGTAATGGAGCTTGACTTTGAAGTAGAGTCAAATGGCGGATGCACAAAGAAGTGCTACTGGTGCGGAGTACGAAAGTGTACAAGGGAGAAGGTAAACCACCAGAAATGTTCTTGCACGGAATGCATCAAGACATATGCGACGGAACAATGGAGGAAAAGTTATGACAGAGCAGTAACGGAAGGAACGGGTGATGCCACGGAAAAAGAAGAGACCCGTGTAACGGATGAAGTGGAGCATGCCTGGAATGCCGGACAAAAGAGTGGCAATGGAAAAGGATCTTTGAAGAGACGTGGAAGAGCAGCGATGGGAACACCATCAATCGTACACACAGAGAGTGTGCGTATGCCCATCATAAGTGAGGAAGACTACCGACGTGGTGGAAGAGTCACATCTGGAAGAAACAAGCAGGATGTGGAAACCCAGGAAGAACCGGAAAAGAAGAAAGAGCCGGAGATGATCGAGTACCGCGGAAGGATGATTACCGTGGAAGAGATGGGGAACAAGATGCTATCCCCAGAAGCACAGGAATCGTATGAGAAGTATTGCGAACAATGCAGTGAGATGTATGACGCGTCAGAAGAACGCGCACAAGGATCGGAAATCCCGATGGACCTGTTTGGGAGTTCGAAGCCAATGGATGTAGATCCAGGTACACCGGACAGCACAGAACAGAGAACGTTGTTCGGAAGTCAGTAAGACCTACATCGTGTACGAGTATGAGGCAGAGAAGTGAGTGTAGGCAAGACTGAAAAAGTTTCACCTCAGAACGCACAGCAGCGAAAGCGCAAAAGAAGGAAGAGCGCTAACGCAGGAAGATTGTGTGGAATGTTTCACTAGGACGAAGTACTTGTTACTGTACGAGTCAAGACAAGGACGGTCTGACACACCTCCTTAATTGGGGGACGGTCAAAAGGTGGGTTGCACGGAGTGTTTAACCCAAGGACTTGCAATGGCTAAGCCGATGCAGTCACGGGCGGAGGTATGCCCGACCAATGACCGATCGAAGTACAGCACAAGGACTTCGAGGCAGGGTGTTGAATTCTGTACATAGGAACGCCCCACACCTTTGGTGAGCCCAGGCTACGGTATAGTATTGTATAGCTGTATACTATGTGACCGATGCAGCGCCTTTGGTTCAAGAGTAAAAGCGTGACCGCTCAGGGTTTTACAGTTTAACTGCCGAAGGAATAGTCCAGCGCCAGACGTTGACTCCTATATCATGTTCGTGGTAAGGCTAGCGGCCACTGGGCACAAGAGTGTTCAAGGACCCGAAACAAGAAAGCATAGGCTGCGTGAAACCCGGGCATACGAGCCATGCGCCGGTAAGAGCACATAAGCTGTGCCGCGTAGCAGCAGCATGGTTTAGGTGGAGTTTTCTTTTCTTTTCGAGAAGCAGTCACTCGGCAAGTGTTTCAAAGGCCACTTCCGTACCCTTCGAAAAGGAGGAGTGTTGGTCATGTGAGGGATCGAGTGCTGCTCATATCACTGCTTCGAAGAAGGCGGTGCGCATGTCTCAGTATAAGCTGTTACATGACAACGTTTGGCTCAAGCCTGATCTTGAATCACTGCACAGGGGAAAGATCGTGCGGGATGCGGTTGCTTTCGGAGCTTGATTTGATCCGATCATGAATCCATCTTATAATCATCTAGATGACGTGCCGTGGCAGATTAGAGAACGTCTCAGAGGCACGGCGAGCGCGGATCAACAAGAAGACGAGGAGATGTCGACTCCAGTAAATCGTTTGATTCGAACTCTTCCTGATCATTATAGTCCGATTACCGATACGAATAGTCCAGATCGACATCAGACGACGACGCAGCTCCAGCAACTTGGATCAGCCATCATTTCAGCGGGCAAAAACCAACACTGCCCACGCATTGCCTGTTTCCGATGGCAGTTCCGGTTCTGGTAGTCGTTCGTGCTACGCTGGTCGTGCTAGTTGCTGTTACCGCGGCCGCGTGTTTCCGTTACAGTACGCGCGATCGGTTTCCGTTATTCCCCAAAGAGATTCCCGTTACGTTCAGCACCCGACCCGATTCTGACATGCCGCGTTGGACAGTCTTGCAGGCTGCGGCTGCAGGCCCTGCGGCAGCCGCTGCCATCAGCGATCTTTTCAGCGGGACTGTATTCGAAGAGAGAAGTCTAACGAGTCTATACATCTTCTTGAAGCAGCTCGCCTGGCAGGAGCGCAGAAGAACAGGCTTTGGCTGCCGGCGCCGCCGCTGGCGCCGCCATAGCCGCGGCAGGAGGTACGCTGGCGGAACAGCGGCCAGCTCAGCTCGCCTCGGAGTCACTGAGTGCACCTGGATATCTTTTTCGCACTGGATGAGGATTGCAGCAGCCGCTGCAGCTGTTGCAGCGTCAGGAGAGTTGAGCATAGGGACAGCTTGTGGCACCCTCGTCGTTGGGTCTCGATAGTGCGATTTTGCCAGGAGCTGCAAGTGGATTGACGCTGGAGCAGATCGTGGCTCTGGCAAGCACTGCAGGCTCGTCCGGAGAGGGCGCCGGTGTAAAGGGTTTCACTGCTCCTGATCGCTCGAGGCAGTACGTTGGCAGAAGGTGCCGGGCAGACAGCAGAGCAACAGGCCGCTGCTGCGGCGGCAACTCGGCAGCATCCACAGTCGAAGCATCAAGTGCTGCCCCGTTCCTGCGCCTGAGGCAGCAGTGTCTGCTGCCGCCCTGGCATCAAACGCCACACAAACGGTCGGGGGGCCGTTTCTTTATGCCAGCATGCATCACTTGTTCCTGTATCGCCAGACCGTTCCAGGTCGCTGACGATCTGGCAGCTACGACGCTGGGCAGCCTGCTGGGTGCACTGTCGCCTGCATCCAACCAGACCAATGCAGCCAACCAGACGTCCGTGCAGCAGGCGAAGAGCAAACAACAACTGCAGTGATTCTCTGCCGGCTGCATCATCCCGCCGGTGGCTTTGTACCACCAAGACATCAGATTAAATTCGGCTATCTCGGCTGGTGTGTTTCTACATTGTTGAAATATGCAGCAGTGCTGGGATGGACGGAGAAACCAACCCAAAATCATGGAGCCCTGGCTGGAGCATCTTCTCAGGCATTAGAGGGTCCACCGTCCAGGACCCCGGATCGAATGAAAGACATCCGCATCTTCGCATGTTAGACCCCTTTCGTTAAGCGGACGCTTAACCCACCTCAACCCTTTCGAGAAAGGTAGCATCCCAGTCTCGTTCCGTCGCACTTCCCGCGGTAACGTTGCTCCTGGCACATCGCGAGTGGAGGCAGTTGCAGCAGCTGCAAGCGCGGCGGCGGCTGCTGCGAGCCTTAACATGACCACAGAGCAGCAAATTGCTGCAGCTGCGCAAGCGGCCATTGCATCTGGGCACGGCGTCCTGAGTCAAGACGCTTGGCAGCACTTTGCTGAAGAAGCGGTGCCAGCAAGCCGCCAATCCAGGGCTCACCGCAAGAGAGAGGTCGGAGAGTGAGACTAAGCAGCTAGGCAGAGTTGCAACAAGCAGCTGCGAGTGGTGCTGGGGCAGCGGCAGCGGCTGCGGCAGCGGCGTCTGGTTCGTCCCCACAAGAGCAGGCATCCCATCCGGCAACATGTGCGCCGTGTGATTGTTGCAACGTAATGTCTGATGGAAGAGATGCTGCCGTTGCAAACTGCAGATGAAAGCCTTGCTCTCTGGATGACTCTGCACACAATTCAGCACTGTGTCATAACCTGTGGTGGCCGTGGTGATGGTTGCGGACCGCTATCAGTCTATCAGCGGCGATGCTGAATGCTGATGATGCTGGCTGCTCTTGGCTCTTGCTGCAGTGCCTTTCGGATGCTAGCGGGTACATTTGTGCATCACTTGCTTGAGCCTTGAACTACATCGTCCGTGTTCATGGATAGTGCGAATGAGTCCGTCAAAGCAATGCTTACATATGCAGACACATGCGGGATTGTGACATGCTGTGTTGGACATTCTTGCAGGCTGCGGCTGCAGGCGCTGCGGCAGCCGCTGCCATCAGCGATCTCTTCAGCGGGACTGCATTCGAAGAGAGTAGTCTAACGAGTCTATATATCTTCTTGAAGCAGCTCGCCTGGCAGGAGCGCAGAAGAACAGGCTTTGGCTGCCGGCGCCGCCGCTGGTGCCGCCATAGCCGCGGCAGGAGGTACGCTGGCGGAACAGCGGCCAGCTCAGCTCGCCTCGGAGTCACTGAGTGCACCTGGATATCTTTTTCGCACTGGATGAGGATTGCAGCAGCCGCTGCAGCTGTTGCAGCGTCAGGAGAGTTGAGCATAGGGACAGCTTGTCGCACCCTCGTCGTTGGGTCTGGATAGTGCGATTTTGCCAGGAGCTGCAAGTGGATTGACGCTGGAGCAGATCGTGGCTCTGGCAAGCACTGCAGGCTCGTCCGGAGAGGGCGCCGGTGTAAAGGGTTTCACTGCTCCTGATCGCTCGAGGCAGTACGTTGGCAGAAGGTGCCGGGCAGACAGCAGAGCAACAGGCGGCTGCTGCAGCGGCAACTCGGCAGCATCCACAGTCGAAGCATCAAGCGCTGCCCCGTTCCTGCGCCTGAGGCAGCAGTGTCTGCTGCCGCCCTGGCATCAAACGCCACACAAACGGTCGGGGGGCCGTTTCTTTATGCCAGCATGCATCACTTGTTCCTGTATCGCCAGACCGTTCCAGGTCGCTGACGATCTGGCAGCTACGACGCTGGGCAGCCTGCTGGGTGCACTGTCGCCTGCATCCAACCAGACCAATGCAGCCAACCAGACGTCCGTGCAGCAGGCGAAGAGCAAACAACAACTGCAGTGATTCTCTGCCGGCTGCATCATCCCGCCGGTGGCTTTGTACCACCAAGACATCAGATTAAATTCGGCTATCTCGGCTTGTGTGTTTCTACATTGTTGAAATATGCAGCAGTGCTGGGATGGACGGAGAAACCAACCCAAAATCATGGAGCCCTGGCTGGAGCATCTTCTCAGGCATTAGAGGATCCACCGTCCAGGACCCCGGATCGAATGAAAGACATCCGCATCTTCGCATGTTAGACCCCTTTCGTTAAGCGGACGCTTAACCCACCTCAACCCTTTCGAGAAAGGTGGCATCCCAGTCTCGTTCCGTCGCACTTCGCGCGGTAACGTTGCTCGTGGCACATCGCGAGTGGAGGCAGTTGCAGCAGCTGCAAGCGCGGCGGCGGCTGCTGCGAGCCTTAACATGACCACAGAGCAGCAAATTGCTGCAGCTGTGCAAGCGGCCATTGCATCTGGGCAAGGCGTCCTGAGTCAAGACGCTTGGCAGCACTTTGCTGAAGAAGCGGTGCCAGCAAGCCGCCAATCCAGGGCTCACCGCAAGAGAGAGGTCGGAGAGTGAGACTAAGCAGCTAGGCAGAGTTGCAACAAGCAGCTGCGAGTGGTGCTGGGGCAGCGGCAGCGGCTGCGGCAGCGGCGTCTGGTTCGTCCCCACAAGAGCAGGCATCCGGCATCATCCGGCAACATGTGCGCCGTGTAATTGTTGCAACGTAATGTCTGATGGAAGAGATGCTGCCGTTGCAAACTGCAGATGAAAGCCTTGCTCTCTGGATGACTCTGCACACAATTCAGCACTGTGTCATAACCTGTGGTGGCCGTGGTGATGGTTGCGGACCGCTATCAGTCTATCAGCGGCGATGCTGAATGCTGATGATGCTGGCTGCTCTTGGCTCTTGCTGCAGTGCCTTTCGGATGCTAGCGGGTACATTTGTGCATCACTTGCTTGAGCCTTGAACTACATCGTCCGTGTTCATGGATAGTGCGAATGAGTCCGTCAAAGCAATGCTTACATATGCAGACACATGCGGGATTGTGACATGCTGTGTTGGACATTCTTGCAGGCTGCGGCTGCAGGCGCTGCGGCAGCCGCTGCCATCAGCGATCTCTTCAGCGGGACTGCATTCGAAGAGAGTAGTCTAACGAGTCTATATATCTTCTTGAAGCAGCTCGCCTGCCAGGAGCGCAGAAGAACAGGCTTTGGCTGCCGGCGCCGCCGCTGGTGCCGCCATAGCCGCGGCAGGAGGTACGCTGGCGGAACAGCGGCCAGCTCAGCTCGCCTCGGAGTCACTGAGTGCACCTTGATATCTTTTTCGCACTGGATGAGGATTGCAGCAGCCGCCGCAGCTGTTGCAGCGGCAGGAGAGTTGAGCATAGGGACAGCTTGTCGCACCCTCGTCGTTGGGTCTCGATAGTGCGATCTCGCCAGGAGCTGCAAGTGGATTGACGCTGGAGCAGATCGTGGCTCTGGCAAGCACTGCAGGCTCGTCCAGAGAGGGCGCCGGTGTAAAGGGTTTCACTGCTCCTGATCGCTCGAGGCAGTACGTTGGCAGAAGGTGCCGGGCAGACAGCAGAGCAACAGGCCGCTGCTGCGGCGGCAACTCGGCAGCATCCACAGTCGAAGCATCAAGTGCTGCCCGGTTCCTGCGCCTGAGGCAGCAGTGTCTGCTGCCGCCCTGGCATCAAACGCCACACAAACGGTCGGGGGGCCGTTTCTTTATGCCAGCATGCATTACTTGTTCCTGTACCGCCAGACCGTTCCAGGTCGCTGACGATCTGGCAGCTACGACGCTGGGCAGCCTGCTGGGTGCACTGTCGCCTGCATCCAACCAGACCAATGCAGCCAACCAGACGTCCTTGCAGCAGGCATGGGATCAGGTTTCAGCATTCATTCTTCGAACATGTCATGGATTTTCTAGCAAGGGAGCAGCAGACCCTTACGTGGAACGACGCGAAGTATCGACAGTCGTACCACCTGCGGATGTTAGGGTGTGGAGCCGGGACGAATTAGCCTACATCGTGACAAGCCCAGCATCGTCGGCTCCCTTCCAAGAACATGCAGACCTCCAAGACAAAAATCAGTACAACATCTGGCTTGGACTGCTGGACGCCCGCATACGCCCGCAAACAGTCTCGATGCTCATCGTCAGGCAGCAGCAGCAGGTGCAGCGGCGGCAACCATCGCTGCAGAAGCAAACATGACGACGGAGCAGCAGATTGCAGCTGCCACTGTGGCAGCCTTGACTTCGGGCCAAGGCGCCTTGAGTCAAGATGCTTGGCGCACTTTCGCATTTGTAGAGTCTGTGAAGCTACTACTCGTACTCGTCCTCGGAAAGGTTTGGGTAAAGCCCTGATTCTAGACCCCAATCCTGACTGGCCTCTTGAATCTTTTTCGCGATGTCCGCGGGATGGACAGCGACAGCGAAGTACCGAAGGGCTAACCCTCAGCCCTGAACGGGGTAGACCGGGCGGGGAAGTTGCTACCGTACTGCAGTAGGACGGACGCCACGTTTCGGCAGGGGTTGTGATGAGCAAGGCTGGGGACCTTGCAAATGCTTGATCCGATCGCCTGCACCCTAAACTTGTAAGGAAGAGCTACATCAAGCGGCTGCAAGTGCCGCTGGTGCGGCGGCTGCAGCCGCCACGTCCTCGATTTTGTTTCGCATTCCCTGCAGGTCGCTTCCAGTGACAGTGACGGTCTGACCAAAGCCTGTGGAAACAGAACGAGAACTGAAGAATCTAAGAGTCTAGGACCAGGATAATCTCAGTACCGTAGACCCCACCTCAGCCCTGCTCACTGACCCGCGGCACCCTCACATGCTAGTGTTGCTCTTGACAGTACTGCAAACGAACGGTGCAGGTGGTTCTTTTCTCACCGCCTCAACAACTGAAGCTTGTTCTCCTGGTTCACAGCCAATCCTCGATGGAAGTATACATGTCCACATCCTGAGGGTCTTGCTGCTGATTGCCATTGCTACATCAAGCCAGAGGTTCTACTTGCCAGTATCATGGTCGTTATTATTAAGCTCCTCTAACGGATTGTTCATAAGTATAAGTCATCTCAATATGATCATGTATGACTTATTGTTGACACCCCTCACCATCACCTTCATGAAACAAACGCACGCATGTGTAAATGCACATTTTGTAGATGTCGGCGCATGTTTCGAATGTTTGTCACGAAAGCTCTCCTCAGATAAGCGTCTCGATCCTATTGGATCCAGAACTTGTTCTGCCACAGGGCTTCGGGAGTTTGAGTGCCCGGCGTTTCGGATCGTCTGAAAGTAGAAAGACGAGCCCCCAATGATGTCCATGATGCTCGCCTGCCGGCTGGGATTGGGACCCCCAGGAATGCTCCTGATGCGCTTAGCGTCTCCGTGTGGGCCCCCCAATGATGCTCACGATGCTCGTTTACCGGCTCAGACTCGCAACGTCACAAGCATCAACAACGCTCCCTTATCCACTGATGCTCATGCGCTCGCTCATAGGTTCCGACTGGGCACCCAATGATGCTGACCATGCTCGCTTTGTTATTTAATGGCTCTGATTGGAACCAAAACAACCCATGATGGTCGCCTACCGGCTTCCCACAGAGGCTTTGCTGCTGAACATGCGTGCTCAGGTCATGGCAACAGTGTCTTGCGAACCTCTTATGCTCGCATGCTACACGGCAAGGCTCAATGTCGTGCCGACGGGTCCAAAAACTGTCCGTAGCCCGCTGGCAGAGCATCTTCCATGCCCAGCCGTCGGACCAGGACGTCCCAGAGCATCCGCAGAGTATCCATAATCGAGCCGTGCATCGTCCATTTAGACCCCATCCGTTCCTGCAGAGCATCCATGATCTAGTCCTGTCGTGCTTATGGGGGTGGGGAGGAAGGCGGCGTTGTGGAGAGAGCACCCGCGCTTTAACCTTTTGTTTCCAGACGCCTTGTTCTCGTGCTTTCCAAACCCACACCTTAAGACCTTAAACATCTTAAACCAGGAGGAACCCCACAGCCGGAGAATTCTTTCCTGTCCTGCACGTCCCGTTGAGATTTTGAAGATCCAGATGCAATGCGGTCGCCAGAGCATTGCTTGCCGTTGCCCAGTTTTAGAAGCACGCCTTCCAACCCAGGACATGGACCTTCAAACCCCCGTTGTTTTAGGTGAATCCTTGCAAGTATGCGGTTGAGTTTGTAGTGCTCCGTCCATGCTTGAAATGCACCAACGAAAACAACTTGAACACATACAGTTGCTGCCCCCACTTCCGAAAAGCCTCGACAATGCACAAAACATCGGCAGGCGTGGCGTCCTGGCCACAAAACAGCGGTTCGGCGTGCCAAAGCCATCTGATTTGCAGCATTCCACAAACAAACACTACAAAATTTTCAGCCATTGACATATGTGTCTAAAACCCCATGCGAAACGCATAGACAAAGCAACACCACGGACAGAAATCGTACCCGTTCGCGTGTTTATGCTTACATTGACATGGTTCTATGGGACTCGAGGATTCGATGTGTCTGTGTTCACATGTATATATATATATATATACACACATATCTGTACATGTATACGTGTGTCACACACACACATATATATATATATATATATGTATATATATATATATATATACATATACACACATACACGTCTATGTCTATGCATATATGTATAGGTATAGGTGTATGCAGATGCATGTGTACATGTACACATACACGCAGATGTGTATGAATATGAATATGTATATCTATGTACTCATCTAAATGCGTATCAAAGAAACCGGCTGACCGGACCCAGGCCGCAGCGAGCGGCGGTCAAGATGCACTGCAGCAGGCGGGCCGGGAATCGGGACACTTCCCACCTCAGTTGCCGTTCCTCTGCCAGAGGGCGTGCAAGCTCGACCCGATCCACACAAGATCCAGAAGCAAACGTCGCAGTGCTGTCTTGCGGTTTGAGGCAAGCGCAGCCGGTGCGACCGCGGCTGCCACGGCTGCCAGCCTTGGCATGACCACAGAACAGCAGGTTGCAGCAGCCGCACAGGCGGCCATTGCGGCTGGGCAGGGCGTTCTGAGTCAGGACGCTCGGCAGCGGTCCAACATTGCCACGAGAAGCCGCAGAGACAGACCCAAGTTTCATCCATGCGGCGTGAGTGTGACTTACTAAGGCGGAATTGCAGCAAGCTGCGGCAAATGCTGCTGGGGCAGCAGCAGCGGCGGCTGCAGCCGCGTCTGGTGCGACACTACAGGAGCAGGCATGCGGCAGCAGAGCACATTTTCCGTCATCTTGCCTTCGGTGCCAATAGCTTCTGCAGGCGGCTGCCGCTGGTGCGGCTGCTGCCCAAGCCATCAGCGAGTTCTTCAGCGGGACCGTGTTGTGCTTGCTTCATGGGCATGCCGGAGGTGAGAAAGTGTCTCATGTGCGCAGGACCCCAGAGGAACAGGCCCTCGCAGCTGGGGCTGCTGCCGCCGCAGCCATCGCCGCAGCAGGAGGGACGCTGGCGGAGCAGTCGTCGCCTCAGCCGAGCCGACCAGCAGAATCCACATGTGTGAACTTGGTGTCTTGAGCCACTCGAAATCCGGCGGTTTGGTGGATCCCTTGCAGTGGATCTGAGGATACAGGCGGCTGCACAGGCCGTGGCAGCCGCAGGACGGAGTGTGTACAGCAACAGATCGGAGCCTGCAGCTGACTTGATTGCCAGGAGCTGCAAGCGGGTTGACACTGGACCAGATCGTTGCGCTGGCAAACACCGCAGGCAATTTCCGGGTGAGGTCGTGGGATCTTGACTGATTAACTGCACATAAATTGCGGTGCTCGAGGCAGTACATTGGCAGAAGGTGCCGGGCAGACATCAGAGCAACAGGCCGCTGCTGCGGCCGCGACTCGGCGCATTGCATCCACAGTCGAAGCATCAAGCGCTGCCCTTTCCTGTGCCTGAGGCAGCCGTGTCTGCTGCCGCCCTGGCATCAAACGCCACACAAGCGGCCGGGGAACCATTTCTTTATGCCAGCATGCATTGCTTGTTCCTGTACCGCCAGACCGTTCCAGGTCGCTGACGATCTGGCAGCTACAACGCTGGGCAGCCTGCTGGGTGCACTGTCGCCTGCATCCAACCAGACCAATGCAGCCAACCAGACATCTTTGGAGCAGGCGCGGGCAGTTCGGCAGTCCACCGGACAAATCGTGCATTCCTCTGTCCGCCTTTGTTCTGCTTGTGAACTCTTCTGCTCTGTACTTTCCGTTCGCTTAGCATCGTTTCAGCTTCGCATCTCCTCTCGGAAGCCTCATCATGTCGTACTGTAGCCGCTTCCTTGCCGGCTTCCCTTTTGGCTGTTGTAGGGACGACGCGTGGCAAGCCCTGACGACCGGGCTTTTAGACTCGGACCCTTTCACCCCATCGCTCTTGACCAGTTCTGTCCAGTGCCGTGAGCAGACAGTTGGCCGAAGCAGTGGGACTGGTATTCGTCGCACAACCCAGCTTAGAGCAACAGATCAATGTGTCTCGTTGCCCGGCCCAGCATCACCGGCTGGACAGTGTATATGACCCGGTTTGCTTGGGCTCTTGCTTTGGCAAGTAGCCGCCGGTGGGTGGTGCTGGGATCATTCACAGAAGCGAGCGCTCTTCGCAAGACGACGAGTTGCGGTTCCTGGACACTGTCTGACAGACTGCTGTCGGCCACCTTTTTCTGAGATGTACGTGGCGTGTTCTCTGCGTGCTGCGCCGGACACGCCATCCATCATTGCTGGAGCTTAGACGTAATTCTTGCTGTTCAGTACATGATCCAGCTGCGGAGAGGCAATCGCGACTGGATCGAGCACAGCTTCCATCGCTGCCAGCCTCAACATGACCGCGGACCAGCAGGTCACGGCAGCTGCACAGGCGACGATTACGTCCGGCCAAGCGGTGTTGGAACAAGCAGCTTGGCAGCAGCGACTGCCAGAGATTTGGTTATGGTTAGGGAATGGTGGATCACTTGAGACTCAGGCCGATATTCGATTGGCAGCTGCACGAGCTGCTGGTGCAGCAGCAGCGGCGGCTGCAGCTGCCGCTGGTGCGACAGTTGAGGAGCAGGCAGCGGCAGCAGACCGCTTGAAGTCTTGAATGTAACCAATGTCATCTTCTGCAAGCAGGCAGCTGCTGCTGGTGCCGCTGCCGCCGAAACTGTCGGCGACATCTTTAACGGGACAGCGTGGTACATCATTGAGAGGCACCTTCTTGCTTTTGTGCGAAACCGTCCAATCCACCAGGACCGCAGAGGAGCAGGCCTTGGCAATGGGTGCTGCTGCCGGCGCTGCTGTGGCCGCAGCTGGAGGGACGCTGGCGGAGCAGTCGTCGCCTCAGCCGACCAGCAGAATCCACATGTGTGAACTTGGTGTCTTGAGCCACTCGAAATCCGGCGGTTTGGTGTATCTTTAGTAGTGGATCTGAGGATACAGGCGGCTGCACAGGCCGTGGCAGCCGCAGGACGGAGTGTGTACAGCAACAGATCGGAGCCTGCAGCTGACTTGATTGCCAGGAGCTGCAAGCGGGTTGACACTGGACCAGATCGTTGCGCTGGCAAGCACGGCAGGCTGGTCGCCCCTTTGTGCAGCAAAGCTTGGATTGACCGATCCGGTACGAGGCAGTGCTTTAGCGGAAGCTGCCGGGCAGACGGCGGAGCAACAAGCAGCGGCTGCAGCGGCAACTCGGCAGCGTTCGAAGGCGAAGCGGCGAAGCATACGACGTTTTTTCGGGTGCTGAGGCAGCAGTTTCCGCTGCCGCCTTGGCCTCCGGTGCAACCCAGCAGGCAGGTATTTCACTGCTGTATGCTTTACACCTCCAGTCGAGGTTGCCTGTGACTTGCTTCGTGAGGTGGCGGATGATTTAGCGGCCAGGACGCTGGGAAACCTGTTGGGAGCGCTGTCACCAGCATCCAACCAGACCAATGCTACCAACCAAACAGCTGCGGAGCAGGCACGTGGATGTGGGACATGTGGGATGTTCGGACGCATGAACAAGCATGCTACGCAGCTTGCATTTCTGGGCTTTCGCCGCCGCCCTGTAGGCTGTACAGTCCTCACTTTCATAGCTTTCGTCAGAAAGCTGAGTAGCTCAGTTTCCCTGCAAAAAACTCATGAAGAGTGCTGCTGTCTCCATGCGGACGAAAGTCGAGCTGAAAAGTCTGAAGGCTCGAGTGGACCCACACTCGTGCTTGGTGAGGCAATCGCCACGGGCGCGAGGGCGGCAGCTGCAGCTGCCAGCCTCGGTATGACCTCAGAGCAGCAGGTCACAGCAGCCATACAGGCGGTGATTACGTCCGCCCAGGACGTTTTGAGCCAGGCCACTTCGACTGCAAGTACGTGCACATGCATGAAGCATCATGAAGCAATAACGCCATTCCTGCCTTGAGACAGAGGCGGAATTGCAGCAAGCTGCGGCAAATGCTGCTGGGGCAGCAGCAGCGGCGGCTGCAGCCGCGTCTGGTGCGACACTTCAGGAGCAGGCATGTGGCAGCAGAGCACATTTTCCGTCGTCTTGCCTTTGGTGCGAATGGCTTCTACAGGCGGCTGCCGCTGGTGCGGCTGCTGCCCAAGCCATCAGCGAGTTCTTCAGCGGGACCGTGTTGTGCTTGCTCCATGGGCATGCCGGAGGTGAGAAAGTGTCTCATGTGCGCAGGACCCCAGAGGAACAGGCCCTCGCAGCTGGGGCTGCTGCCGCCGCAGCCATCGCCGCAGCAGGAGGGACGCTGGCGGAGCAGTCGTCGCCTCAGCCGAGCCGACCAGCAGAATCCACATGTGTGAACTTGGTGTCTTGAGCCACTCGAAATCCGGCGGTTTGGTGTATCTTTAGTAGTGGATCTGAGGATACAGGCGGCTGCACAGGCCGTGGCAGCCGCAGGACGGAGTGTGTACAGCAACAGATCGGAGCCTGCAGCTGACTTGATTGCCAGGAGCTGCAAGCGGGTTGACACTGGACCAGATCGTTGCGCTGGCAAGCACGGCAGGCTGGTCGCCCCTTTGTGCAGCAAAGCTTGGATTGACTGATTCGGTACGAGGCAGTACTTTAGCAGAAGCTGCCGGGCAGACGGCGCAGCAACAGGCAGCGGCTGCAGCGGCAGCTCGGCAGCGTTCGAAGGCGAAGCGGCGAAGCATACGACGTTTTTTCGGGTTCCTGAGGCAGCAGTTTCGGCTGCCGCCTTGGCCTCCGGTGCAACCCAGCAGGCCAGGGTAGGTACTCTTTACTTTGTCTTTCACAAGTCGAGTGTCACTTGTGACTTGTCTGCGAGGCAGCGGAGGATTTGGGTGCCCGGACGCTAGGAAGCCTTCTGGGAGTTCTGCTGCCTTCGTCCAACGAGACGAATGCAGACGGCCAGACAGGTGTGCAGCAGGCATCGGGCGGTGTGTTTCACGACGAGCCATACAGATCCCAATCTGTGATATGACATGGCCCGTGAGAGCCGTCCTGCGTGTCCAACATGTCAGTGTGTACCGTCAGGCTGAAGCAGCAGGTGCGGCGGCAGCGAGTATGGCTGCAGAAGCGGGTATGACAACCCAGCAGCAGATCACAGCTGCAGCTGTGGCTGCCTTGACTTCGGGCCAAATCCCACCTCTCGTTGTGGAAGCTTGGTTCATACAAAAAGTTTGGCTTGCACAAGCTTTACTTCCACTGGTCGGATGCACAAGGACGACCTGGAGGACGCGGTTTCAAGCGCTGCTGGTGCAGCGGCCGCGGCTGTCAGAGCCCTGGGCCCTGGAAGCCACTTTCGGAGCATCGGAGCATCGGACTGCTGCTCTGGTTGGCTTGCCGCCAGGCCGCAGCAGCGGCAGGACAGGATGTTTTCCAGCAGGCTGAGCGGCTGAGCATGCAGCGACGATGTGACACGCGCACAGACATTTCTGAAGTGCTTCGTTGAGCAGGCCGCGGCTGCTGGCGCTGCAGCTGCTGGTGCCATCACCCAGTACTTTGGTGGGACCGCACGATCTGCACCAACCATTGCGTTTTGGCATAATGCAGCAAGTGGACATCTCTTGCATCGCTGCATCCGATGCCAGTGGAATGGACTCTCTTTACGACTTTACAATTGAAGCTTGCAGGAGCCAAGAGGAGCAAGCACTGGCAGCTGCGCTGGCTGCCGCAGAAGTAGTGGCTGCTGCTGGAGGCAGTGTGGAAGACCAGTCACTGGCTCAGGGCATTGCAGTATTGGGATCGACCGACACATCTTCCGAACACTCATCCCTGCGCCCCCGCGTCCGCAGACGAGCAACACGCGCGTACTTGGGGATCTGTGTGGGATATGAAGGGCCGGAGCGGACGCCAGCCTCATGAGCATTCTCGGGTCTCCGGGTCTCAAGGTTTTGCTTCCGTAACGTGAATTTCAAGGGGGCAGGGAGGAGCATCTGGGTGGGGCAGTGAGCTGTCGCGAGGAGGAGGGGAGGCTCAGGTCGCGAAGACTGCACGGGCAGGGACGCGGATTGGACAAACTGAGCGCTTGCTTTCCGAGGATTCAAGCAGCGGCGGCTGCTGTCGCTGCACAAGGAATCCACCTCTGCAACTGGGGTGAGTAATCCCTTCCCTCTATCATTAAGCCCCTCCCTAATATAAAGACTACAGGCCCCCGGAATTTCGCGATTTCGGGCCCACAATTGAAAGTCAATTAAGCACATTAGGGGGGGGCTAGGATTGTATGAGTTTTAGTAGAGCCAAAGATTACAGCTGTACTAACGACAGTAGAGCTTTAGGGTTTAAGGGTTTAGGGCTCAGGTTCAGGGCAGGAAAGATACAGCAGTACTAAAGACAGCAGAGCTTTAGGGTTTAGCAGGCTGACTGTCTCGTCTACAGCCGGAACGGCTGCGCAGGAATTGCTCGCTGTTGACTTGTCTGACTGTGCTCGCGAATTAAATTCCCCACTCATACGTGGATGCACCGGACCGAAACCCTCCCTAATATGAAAACTAAACCTCCGAAATCCAGTTTTAATATTAGAGGGGGGGGAGCCCTTTAATATTAGGAGGAAGGGATTAAAGCTCGCAGCGGCCTTTTCGTGCTATCAGGAGCCTCCGATAGCCTCACTCTGGACGAGATCGCATCCCTTCTCGGTCAAACAAGCCTGGCTCTCGACAACTTGTTGTGTTGCATAGGTTGTGATGTAGGAAGTGATGCTCCGAGGCGAAAGCTTCGTCACCACTGTATACTCGTCCCAAGATGCATTCAAATCAGGGGCTTAGACTAACGACAATCACTGAAGTCGGTGCCACCGACACCCGCAACAACTGGGTACATGTAGCACTCTCGGCCGAGATCAATCAAGCCAGGTGCTTGTCATCCTCCGGTATCCCGTCGAACCCAGCGATGCGGAACCTGCTTACGAAACTGACACACCCATGCAGACAGTCAATGCGAGAGTGGGCAAAGAGGAGAGTTTTTTGCGTACAGATCACATCCTCGAATGCCGAGTGTAGGCCGATCTACGTAAATATGGGAAGGAAAACTGAGTTGCTGTTCCGGGATCCCAGTCCACTTTGCTGACCTAATGCTACCTGTCTTGCTGCAAAGATTGAGTCTGGTGTCCTGTTGTCGTATAACGGCTTTGCGAATCGCCCTGCGCGATTGTTCGATTCCTGACCTGTGTGTTGAGGATTGCATCTTCCGGTTGTGTGCAACTATCCCGGATTGCTCGTTCCAACTAACATGCTCGCTGGCGGGAGCGAATCCGGACAGCAGAGAATCCCCAAGTTTAGTAGTTTAGACTAGACTAGACCAGTGCTCGCTCCTCTCGCAGATCTTCCGCGACTCTCAGCGGAAAGTACAGACCTAATGGGTGCAGGCGGGACATCGATTCCCCAAAAGCGAGACCCCTCGCTGATTCTGGGAGGTGTGATGTGGGGTTTGATCGCGACGGCCGCGGCCGGCATTGCGGTGATTCTTGCCGTCCGAGTCTTAGAATGATACCTCTGAAAACCTGTCGCTCGTGTGAGCATCTTCTATCTCAGGTCGTTAGCGTTGGAAAGATGCAGAAGACGAGGCTGAAGCAGGCACAAGCCTTGCGTCAGGCCCCAGCACGGCAAAATGCAGCCTTGATGCTTGACATGCTGCGGCAGTGCTAAGTCGAACCCAGAAGCAAGCTTGGAGCTTCGAGGCCACTGAAGAGGCCAAGTTAGCCGAGCGGATGCAAGACAACTTTGACGCAACACGTGCAAAGATCTGCGTGATGTTGTCCGGAGCCGAGCTGCAAGGAAACCTACTGTACAGCCTCCTTTTAATGTGTGACGATCGAGATATGCGCGTGTGCACACACGCGCTTTGCAGACGGTGCCGAGGCCTAAGCTCGAGCCTGGCCAGGGAGTGGGCCCGCCGGTCACACGCTTCTCATCCGTCGTCGAGGCGCGCAGGGCGGCTTCGTGAAGAGGCTGTAAGCCCATTCGCCCCTTTATTCCACGACTGCAGGGCAAGAAGGACTTCAACTTCGCCGATGACGTTCTGCCTGGTGAGCGGGAAGCACCACAAGATACTTTCCGCGGAAGTCACTGGGGAGAGGCACCTTGGAAGATGCGGCACAGATCTCGAGCCTCAAGTCTATGACTTGTCAGGCAGATTCCTTTTCCTTGGAGCTCGGTAATGAGGCAGCAAAGCTCATAGCCTTGGGTGCGATCCCAGCAATCAGTGGCGATAGTAGAGCCTGCTCAGGTGATTTCGGGAAACCGCCCAATCCTTGGTGTGAAAAAAACTGCCGAGTGGCTTCGGATTGCAGACCCCCCAAAGTCTGAGCAACCAAGGGAACTCGACCTCGTCCATCAGCAGGAGAGCAGCTCCCACGTGTCAGGACACCACGAGGTCCATACTGTCCATGCCCTGAAGGCTCCCAGCGTCTCCTCCTGCAACGGCATCGGCGATCCAGAACGACTTCTGGACGGCACCAGAGGCCGACATTTGGTCTGAGCTGCATCTGTGCCGTCGGGTGTGTGGGCAGCCAGGTCGGGGACGACGAGCTTCCAACCATCAAGCCAGGAACTCATTGAAGCGGCCACGACCTGCCGACTGCCATCGGCCCCAGAAATCCTTGGAACGACAGGCCGAGTGCGCCGCGGCTTCAAGGCCACACGTCAAAGGAGCGGCCGTGTTGCTGCCGTGACGAAGCACAGTGGAGACAGGTGGGCCAAGCAATCTAGAAGGTGATGAAAGGCCAGGCCGCCAGACCGACAGCGCTCTGCGATTTCGAGTCTCGAGAGATCTGGAGGTTTTCGGTTGGCAAAGTTCAACCGCCGCCATTTTCTCCGACCAGCGGCCTTGTGAGCCCAAGCGGCCGACGATCCGCAAAAACCCTCTGACGAAGACACCGGGGGCATTTCTCTGCAATGCTGCGGCCTCGGTGGCATGTCATGCTGGCCTCCCCAAGGAGTCGCAGAACAAGGGCCCCTGTCTGAGGACGAGGTGTGACGAAACGCATGGGCTCTTGTTACAAGAGCTCCCTGCAGTGTCGTCTAAACGGAAAGCAAAGAGGTCGTCAAAGAGAGGCCTAGGAAAAAAGAGCCGGTGCCTGTGTTGTTCCGTTCCACTGGCTTCAGCGGCTCGGAGTGCTGCTGCAGTCGCTTGCGACGCATTGACGCATTGCGATGTCTCGATGTTTTCGGCTCATCGCGTGGTTGGGGCTGGCTGGGGCAACCAAAATGCTGGAATCCCAGTCGCAGTGTTGGACATGTTGCCTGTCCTGTGGTCTGTTGCTGCAGGTCAGCCGTGAAAACCATGGCACGGCTGGGCCTTCTCGGGGCCATCCTCCTCGTCTCACCTTTACGATCACCAGGTCAAGCGGTTTGGGGCCATAGTGCTTGTGTCTGTGAGACTCACATGCAGGTTTTGCCAGCAACTCTTCAACATGCTCGCTTCCCGACGGGTGTGTTGCTGGCTTTTCAGAGAATGAAGAAGAGAACATCCAGGTCAAACTGCTTCAGGTGCCTTCCTTGTTTCCTTGTGGCACGCAGGGCTGAGGCTAGCTTCCTGTGAAAACATCGCTTCAGGTCAACGTGGAGTTAGGGAGGACATCGGATGCTCGGGAGCATCCCGGTGGGCGGTGCTCACGTCTGCAGGAAGTATATCAAGAGGCCAAGAACATGGTGTTAGAACAAGTGAACAAAAGTCTTTTTCTGGCATGTAAGGCGGTCGCTGGCTGAAAGACTTCGAGAGGGATGGCAACGCAAATTCCTGCCTGTCACCACCTCGATCCTCTTGCCACATGGTTTCGCATTCGTGATTGCGCAGTTCCTGATCCGGCGCCACCGGAACAAGAAAGCCGAGTGCTTTACGGACCCGCAGGAGGATGCTCCCAGGAGTCTGCCTTACATCGCTGGAAGAGTGGGTCCGATGTGGCTGATCCACGCGCTCTCCGTGTTCGTCTATGCAGTGTCGGCGCCAAGCTCTGCCCGCATCTTAGTGACTACTGACAGCGCTCCATGCATCCTAGGACTGTCTCCAATTGCCTTTGCGTGCTCTCTTTTGTGTGCGCATGTGCATAGTTTTCACTCTGTATGTAAGAGTGCCTTGTAGTTGCCAGAGAAGATTCAACTTGAAGTCATATTTCTGGGGTGCCAACGTGTTGCATCTGTGTGCTGAGGACTACATGTATCTGAACTCTTTTGCAAAGCACTATGCTGGTGGCCATCCTACGGATTGTTCCACAGCGATGGACACGATGCCATGCAGCCGGGCGGTGGTCGATGTTACGCAAATACAGGTCATTCGAGGTGCGGTCTCCCTGCTAAACAGAGCAGCCTGCTAAACGCCGGCGGCTACTCGTATAGTTCTCGAGCTCTTCGAAAGCTGAAAGCCCAACATGTGCAGCCCAACATGTGCCTCTTAGGCCCGAAGGTACCTTACTCGCAAGAACCCGACAGGTAGGCCACCCTGAAGAAATAGTCACACGGTTGAGAACCTGGAAGCTTAAGTCTTGAACGAACTACCCACTTGTTCCAACAGGCCCCTGTAAGTGTGACGTGACATCCTGTTGCAGGGTTTGCATTGCCCATCATCCAATTTTTTGCTGGACCTGCATTGGGAGCCATCAGCGACGCCTTCGGTCGGCGCCCAGGAGTAATTTTGATACGAATTGCATTTGCAATTTCGACCGGGACTGGAGCAGCGGTTGCTTGGTTTGACCTCTCTGTCTGGATTGATTTTTGGATTGGCTTTCTTGGGATGATCCCTTTCCTTCCAGTGCCTTTGGCTTGGTACATCGACCGCATTGACCATACGCCCAGCATCGTCATGGCGACAGCTCTGATCGAAAGCTCCTGCACACTTGCGTCAATTCTGGGCTCTCTCCTTGGTGGCTTCCTCAGTCTGAAGGTTGCAATGCTGATTGGCTTCTTGGGAAAGATGATGTGTCTGCTGCTCGCACTCTTCGCCTTACCAGAGTCGCTTCCGGAAGAAAAGCGAATCCGCTTCACCTGGTCCAGCTTGCTTCCCACTGCAGCGCTCCGGGTGCTTTTCCAAAGCCCTCTGGTGGAGAAGCTTACTGCGATTGCCGTCATAGATTCATTCCATTACAATGGCTTTTACACCATGATGAACCGTTTCTTTCAGCAGCATCTAGCATTTACACGGCAAGAGATGTATTTGCAGGCCATGATAGCACAATTCTCAGACATGATCTGGCTGACCTTGGGCGTGTCTGCGCTTTGGCCTATCCTCGGGCAGGCCGCTTTGCTTGCTTTTGCCTCTTTTTCGGGGTGTCTTGCGGGGGTTGTATAGGGGGCAGAATTTTCATGCGAGAGAGAGAGAGAGAGAGAGAGAGAGAGAGAGAGAGTTGGGGAACCTTCCATTGTAAGGGGAACTGCTCCGAAAAGCCGCAGCACCACACTGACAAAAAGTCATTCCTTGTGGCCGTGGAGCGGTCGACACGTGTTCCCCGAACGAATGTTTGTACCGTATTGCGGGTATACTTGCCTTTTGCAAAGACGGGGAACATGGGGAACTGCACTAGGACCGTGCATGTGTCAGTCAAACAACTGAAGAGCCCTGATAAATCTAGAGACCAATATAACTGCAATATCGATCAGGGGGACTCGTTGCTTGTTGACGCCCTGCCGAAAGCCCCATAACTTTATAACACATTGGGGGGCTCATGCGGCCGGGGGGCTTCGCACGCTCCCCACACCCTGATGAAGAGAGAGAGAGAGGAGAGACAGACGTGGTATCATGTGGTTAGAAGAAATTGCCGAAAATCGGCTGTCGTGTTGGTGCATCTGCTGATACATGATCCACGCAATGGCGCTGACAATCAGCCAGAAAAAACTCCAGAATGGCGCTGAAGAAGCAGCCTTATCTTTCGTAATTCATGAATACATAATAGAGGGTCCGGTCCTGGGACTTCCAAGAATAACATAGTTGCACCCTGATCTTTTTTCATCAACTTACAGTCTGCCTCGGGATCTGAGAGAGACAGAAGGAGAAAGACGAGAGGGAAGAAACACAGTCGTGTCATGTGGTGTCCTTTCGAGCTCTCATTCTTGCAACCAACAAAAAGCTCAAAACGTACATCTCAAAGCCCTGGCTTCCGAAATCTCATTGACAATCAGACAAGAATAAGAGACAGAAGCGACACAGACACGATACTCAGAGTGATGAGCGGAAGTAGCCCTGTTAGAGTGGTTACCCCCCCCCCCCCAGTAAACGACCGCTCAAGAAATAGTGCCAGCCCTGTTTCACCGACCTCCCCAAACCCCCCCTCTTAGGTAGGGGGAGTACGAAGCCCCAATTGGAGCAAGTTCACATCAAGAGCAAATGATCGGAGCTGGGGAACTTAAAGTCAAGTGCCTGCGATTATACAAGCGTAGGCACACAAACGCCCTACACCTCAGAGGCATTGAATTGTTGTGGATGAAGTCTTTTTTAAGGATCACATTTTGTCAGAATGTACTGTCGGCATCCGAAACCTTGAACATTAAGTCTTGCTCTGGAACTGAAGAAGTAGGACTTCATTAGTCTTCCTAGGACAGGCTGCAGGAAGGAGTGCTGGGTGGGGACGAAGCCCCAAACGGAAAAAAACACGGGGGTGTGCTGGAGGATTAGGAGGGAGCCTAGGCCTACTACGCCCGGCCAAGACCGGGTCGGATTTAATTCTCGGACAGGTTGGCATCCTGGTTTCGAGTTCCTCGGCGCTTCGAAGCAGCTTTTCAAAGCGCATAGTTCTGCTTCTGAACGAAGGTTTTTCATCTCTGCTTGATTGGTTTACCAGGTACACTTGCCACGGCCCTGTCGGATGTGCTTTTGATGATGGCGGGGAAGAGCTGGCAGGTGAACCTGAACTGCCTGATCCTGGGAGGTTTGGGGAACATGAACAGCTGCGTCATTGCCGGCATTGCCGGTCGAGCCGCTTCCCAGGAGAAGCAGGCGATGTTCCAAAGCGCGCTGAATTTGGCGATCCAAGTCAGCAGCGCTTTGGGCCCTGCAGCCTTCATGACCGTCTACCAGCTCTGTGACCCCACAGCGCCGGGGGCTCCACGCTGGAGGATGTCCATCTACGTGCTCTATGGAGTCATGTTTGCCGTTCCGAGCCTGATGCTTTCACTGGCACTCCGCCGGTTCATCGAAGAGGAGAAGGACCACGATTCCGGCTTCAGCAGTTGAGCTCGGAGCCGTGGAAGAGCGGAGCGTGCCTCGGAAAGAGCCCTTCCCTCTGAGGTGCAGTAGAAGCGGTTGCAGGTTCTGCAGTAGCACTGAAATACGAAATGTAAAATTGGGGGTCAGGGTGCAACGCAAGTGCATCTCTTGAGGCCTCCGAAGCCGTCCCGCCTCAAGTCCGATATAGTTGTGACCTTCGGGAAGCAAGTCCAGCCCGTCTGCAGATAGCTAAACCCGTTTCAGGACCGAGACCTGAGCAACTGACTGGACTCACAGTTAACTGCCCAAGAACGGCCCGGGAATTAGCTGTCCCAGCGTGGCAACACAGCTGGCTTCGGTTTGATTCGAGTCCGGCTGGGATCCTGCACTGCACCTCTGCTCAGCTGTTATTGCTCAAGTCGTATTCTGAAGAGGAACATGCGACCAACCCAGCAATCAAGGAACCATCACTGTCATTGCCGACGGCTAAACACGCTTAGGGACACAGCTTGTCTACATCGGGAAATGTGACATGTGCTGCGGATGAAGCAACAAAAGATCTTTTGAGAAGCTTCAGCATCTCCCATCATAGCCAGGCAGCCGCCCGAGGGTATCGTGCAATGCCGTCCCGTGACATGGGCTTCGCTGATGCCCCGAACCCCTCCATGGAAATCTCAGAGTATGTAGGCAGCGACAGCGAGTCGTCCGATGGCCAGGTGCCCTGAGTCTGCACATAGCACTTGTAGCAGTTCTACCTGTCGCTCTTGCCTGCAAGGCTGAGAAGCTGCGATGTTGCCCGACCAAGCAGAAGCTCATTTTCCCTGCGGGTGTGGCCTTGCTTCTGGGTGTCGTGCTGGCGTTGATCGTTTGGCTCAGCACTCGGCAAGGAGGCTGGCGGGTTGAGCGGCGGGATTGGGCGGGTGTACATCAATTTACTCTGCGAAGTGCTTTTGCGAAGTGCTGCAGGTGGCTCCAAGTGCCGAGGCTTCGAGAAGTGCCCCGACTATCCGTTGCCTTACGCCTTTGGGACCTGGCCCAAGACCTACAACTACACTGGGCGCTTTCCTGATGGCTTCGTCTGGGGTGTGGGTACTGCGTCCTACCAAGTTGAAGGTGGATACAGAGAAGGTGGCAGGGGTGCATCAATTTGGGATACTTTCACAGGGGTTGCCACTCTTGATTGGCAGGCTTTGGCTTCTTTGCTTGCACCTTAGACGCCACTTCGGCTGTAGTCTCACCACCGTGCCCAGTGCAAAATGCGTGAATTCAGGCCAATACGATTGACATGCCAGGGGGCAACTGCAGCTACTGTTGCAAATCTACACCATGCACCCCCAACGAGCACATGGTCGACAAAGGCGCGACTGGCAACGTTGCCACAAACAGCTACCACATGTTCCGAACAGATATCGCCCTGATGAAGTCAATGGGCTTGAAGCATTACAGGTTTAGCATTGCGTGGCCTCGAATCTTCCCAACGGGCAGCGCGACCGGGGAGCCAAATGCAGAGGGCGTGAAGTGGTACAACACCTTCCTTGACGAACTCCTAGCTGCTGGGATCCAGCCATATGTGACTCTTTACCATTGGGATCTGCCACAAGCGCTGATGAGCCCGCCAGAACTCAGTGCATGGTGGGCCCGGGATAAGCACGGCAAGCCTGTAGGCCAGATCCTCGAAAACTGGAAGCACTACGTTGACACCTGTTTCCGATCCTTCGGGGACAAGGTCAAAGTCTGGGTGACGTTCAACGAGCCTTGGACCTGTACAAAGCTGGCCAGTGGTAGTGGCAAGGCTCCAAGCATCATGCCTTTCATGAATGCATCGCTGGATCCATACATAGCTGCGCACAACATCTTGAACGCACATGCGGCGGCAGTGGAGATATATCGTCGAAAATACCAGAAATCGCAAGGGGGAATCATAGGCATCACGAACAACCAAGATTGGAGAGAGCCGAAGACGGACAGCTTGGAAGACATTGCAGCAGCTGAGCGGGCAATTCTTTTCCAGCTGGGCTGGTTTTCGGAGCCCATTTTTGGTGCTTATGGGGACTATCCTCCCGAAATGCGAGCTGTATTTGGAGACAATTTGCCCAAGTTCACCGACGCCGAGAAGAAGCTTCTGAAAGGCAGTGCGGACTTCTTCGGGTTGAATCACTACTCCACTGGTTGGTATTCTGCCACCGAGGAGCCAGGCTGGGACATGACTTACGGCGTGTCAAGCGAGGATGGTTTTCTTCGTGCCCAGTCGACCTGGCTCTACGGTGCTGGCTGGGGACTGCGCAAGCTGCTGAACTGGGTGAAGAGGCGCTACAATCCTGTCATCTACGTCACGGAGAACGGCTGGTCGATAGGCGCCATAGATTCTAGTCTTCCTCCAACCCTGCTAGGCCCCACAGGCCCCCTCCGGAACATGCCATCGAGAGGCCCGATGCCAAAGTAAGCACGGAAATTGCTAGTTTCCTGTGGGCTCCAAATCACGACAGGTGCGAAGACGGCTGAGCAGGCTGCCAACGACACAGACCGAGTGATGTACTATGCGAACTACACCACTGAGGTCCTGTCAGCTATACGGCAGGACGGCGTGGATGTTCGCGGCTACTTCGCCTGGTCCTTGCTGGACAACTTCGAGTGGGAGATGGGATATCCGATTCGATTCGGCACCGCCTATGTCGACTACAATCCAGGGCTGGATTCGGATGCGCCGCTGCCGAACACCCATGTGCCGACTGCAGGCTTCCAGCTGCGTCGCCGCAAGGATTCCAGCTGCTTCCTGGAGCAGGCAGGTAGTGTGCCACATCAGTCTTAGAAGGCCATGTGGCGCTGTGCTGACACTTTCTTCGTTTCATCAAGCACCCGAGCTCGGCTCGACTTTGCGAGCCTGAAAGCTTTTGCAGGTGTGGCGAGAGAATATGATGATGGCCCCGAGCGGGGTAGCATCTTGTGTGCAGCCTGGCATCTTTCAGGGCCGCTACCGTGACGTCACGGAGCCCGGCTGCCAGCGGCTTCTTGATGTCTACATTCCTCCCACGTCTGGAAAGATTTCTGGGACTCGACCAGGCGGAGAAGGGAAACTTGCCAAGGGCTCTTGGGAGGTTGCGTAATTCTGCAAGAACAAAGACGAACAAAGTCAACGATCCCGATCCTCAACCGAAACATGTGTCAAGCATCATGAACTTCCAAGTTGTCTGCCAGGTCCTGGCAAGACGTCTTGTGATAATGTCACTGATATCACCTATGGCCCAGCCTCCGTGACCATAAGTGGCAGCACTGCAACTTGGCAAACCTTCCAAGTCAGGATTGCTGGCAGCAAGTTACTGGAAATGCGATGATTCATTGAGCTCAGGTTGTTTGCAGAGGCTGCCGGACGGGGTCCTCGCAGGCAGCGCGAAGGGCAAGGAAAGCCTACAATGTAAGTGCGGAAATCACCGTTTGCCCTGCATCAGGGCTTCTGGTCTGCTGGCAGCCTCGGGATTGAATGGGATGATGGTGCTCTTTGGGTGAAGGCGCGGCGACCAGAACTCCCTACAGTAGGCCTCAAAGTGCTTCCTACGGTAGCTGCCGGCACAGGTGATATGAATGGTTGCTGTGGCCGTTCGGGCCTGGCAAGCTGCACGGAATGCAAAACGCATGATGTGGACAACAGATTCCGCCGATACCCAATGCAAAAGTGTGTTTGGTGCCCTGCTTGCACTGCGACAGTTGCTGCTGCCACATCTCCAGGGGGAGCCACGTGTCTCCACAATTGCTGCCATTCCAGCTAGAGTTAATTAATTGGTCACGTGCTTGGGAAACTACATCCAGGTCGTGCTACAAGAAACTATGCCTGCATCGAATCCTATCGAACTGCGCTGCTGATGAGCATCATAAAGCACATGACGACCCCCCGCCAGTATCCCTTCAGTTCACAGCCCGAAAGTAGCACGTGAGCGCCTCATGCATTCAAAATTCGGTGCATGATGACACCACGGCCGACGTGGTCATGGCCGAGTGGTCCGCAAGCCCGGCTGTGAAGCAGGCCCTGGCCGCTGGAGCTGTGAAGCAGAGCTCAGGGCCCATGCCACGTGTGCCGGGACTAAGCTGCTGCCAGGAGCTCTGCCAGCTTCGTGCCGGGCTCACCGACTCGAAGGACGCGCACATGGCGAGAGCTGTGTAATGCGCATCGTAGTCCCATGTCCACAGTGTCTTGGGGTTGTGGTGGCTGCATGCGTTTGGTGTGGTAGGCACGGCACCTCGACACAGCTCTGCTTTTGGAGCGGCTGTCAGGCAGCCTGCCCGTTCCGTGTGGTCTTGTGAAACCTGTGAGTCCCTGAGGCCAAAATGCTGCGCTGCGCCTGCAGCTCCGAGAGGGCCGAGAGGCTCAGCCGGAGGCCGTAGCTGCACGGACTCGCAGCGTTTCGGGCGACCTGCACGAAAGTCTTGTGCGAGGCAGGAGGAGCTGAGTCCACCCTGTCCCTCGGATTGCACACGTGCCACGTCGTGCCACGTCTCCCTGCACCTGTTTAAGAGACGCTCGCGCGCATGACGAGGCGCACGTCCAGGTCTTGTCCAACTTCCAGAGCGGACAAAGAAAATCGCCGTGAACTGCCATCGCCATCGGAGAAGCCGTGCACACCCAAGAAGCCGCGTGAGCCAAAGTGCTGTCTACATTCAGGGGATCGCCAGCAGTCACCACAACTTTCGTGCTTCACCCCAAGGCACGCGCAGATCCCGTGCTCGGGAGGCCAGGCCGCGCCAGGGCCACCAGAGACGACACAACTGCGGTTGGTTGGCACGTGCGAGGGCAAGTCAATGCAGGCGAGCTCGGGCTTTTAAGGCCAGGACAAAGGGGTCAGCCCAGTGGGCAAGGGGCTTGCTCCAGTACACAGGCACCGGGTCTGGCAGCTGGAAAGGGAGCTGGAGGTGGAGAAGCGACGCAGCGCCGACGCCCCAGAAAAGGGCCAAATTTTAGCGTACACGGTCGGACACTCGAACGCTGCAAGAGGCAGCGCTGCAGAAGAGAGTGGTCCGTGCCCGAGATGCTCTGACGCTGACACCGCCATTCAAAGCTCTTTGGGGCCTCGTCTCAGGATGGGCAAGAAGCGCAGCTGAAAGCTAGCGAGGCAGGCCGTGAGCTGGCCCAGCTGCAAGAACTTTTCAGTCTGTCCAGGCCACAGATGTGGCACAGCTCAGAAACGAGCTTGCTTCTCTGAGAACATGGTGACGATCTGAGAAGAAAATTTGCATGCTGAGAGTGCAGATGCAAGAGTATGAAATGTGTATAAGGGCGAAGCAAGTGCGGCTGGAGCATGCAGCAGAGCAGGTGGGAACAGTTAGCTGCATCACGCCGCTGGAATTCTGCTCTTGTAAGGCCACCGCGGTCGCAGAGGCTTCTTCTCACTTCCTTCAGGTGCCTCATTGCTGAACAAGTCCTGCATGCCATGCATAGCCCATAGCAGCTTTCTGGAAGGCGCGAATGAACGCTGACAAGCACACCGTTTGCTACTCAGCGTCGACGTCGAGGTGCCTTTTGGCGGCTTGCCTGGGCTTATTGGTCAAGGTCCATGGGGAGACAGCAGACCAGCTTCGACATGAACTGAAGCGAGAAGTTGAGGTGCCGGGCATGGCCGGGACGAGAAATGCGTTGTTCTCATAGTGGTTTACAGTCAATGCGGTCGAACCTGCAACTTATTCACCCGCTACTGCATTTTCATGTTATCTATCTCGTGTATGACGCGTGTTGAAGTGCCTTCCAGGATGCCTAGCAGCAGCTCAGTGAATTTCAGTAAATACGTGGTGCCAGCAGATTTAGTCGGTGTCGCACTCACGGAGATCTGCCGCAAGACTCTTCGAGTTGGTCGTCTCGAAACCCTTTAGACTCTGGACATTCCGACATGTTTCAGGCAGCCCGTCTGCTCCACAAGGAGGAGCTCCGAGTCGCCACAGCCGAGCTTGGGCCTGAGGGATCCAGAGAGAGATACTGTAGCCTTTAAAGCGTTTTTCTATACAAGTACCCGGTCGTAAGCCGACCCCTAGACCCAATAGTGCGAGAGCTCGGTCTTCCTTGTCTCGGTTCAGTAGTGTGCAGTTGGTGTCGGAGCCAGACTGGCCAGTGCGGTGCGCGCGCGTGAGAACGGAGTGAGCTCTTCTTCCTCTGATCTGTCTCCACTCCACTGCACTCCTCTCTCTCTCTCTATGTATATATATATATATATAGGTATATATATATATATATATATAGGTATATATATATATAGGTATATATATATATATATATATACATACACACATTATGTACTTACACATCCATCCATCGATGCATACATACATACCTACATACGTATGTGATGGGAAGGAGGAGGAGACCACGCAGTGCGTGAGACGTCTTCGAACGCATAGCGCGCAACTCACAACCATATATTGGCTAGTATGTGGTGCAGTCTTGACCCGCCCTTCCGCCACCCTCACACATATGTGTGCATGTACTGCAATGTTCAAGTTTGTCTGTCTGCGTGCGCGTGGCTTTCGGCTTGACAGGCTTTCTGCACAACACACCTCGAACGAGTTTAAGGAGGCCCGGATGAAGTGGCGATCTTCGGTTGCCGACGGTCAGATGTGACCGATGCGACTGTGACTGGAAAGGAGTTGGCGGCTGCCGAGGCTCTCCGAGTTTGCCGTTCGCAACTTCACTTTGCAATGAGCCCTCGGAGGTCTGCCGACAGTCCTGTGAAGAGAGTGAGGAGCCGAGGGACCCTGGACATGGATTGCGCTTTTTGGTTGCAAATAGCGGACACTCCCAAAAAATGAAGACAAGGTCGGCAGAAAGCTCATTTGGAGGAGGAGGAGCTTGAGGTGCGGGTTGGGAGTTCCTAGCTTCCTGTTTCTTTGAAAGTTTTGAACGCCAAAGCTTCTTCCAGGCGATTTCAACACTACTCAGCCTTCGGCCTAGCTGCCGACATTTCAAGTAAGATGCCATACACCCTTGAAGATGCAATGGTTCTTGTGGACGCTCTTCTGGCAAGCCGTGTCCAGGAACCGAAGTGATCCAATCGGAGAAGGCGATGCACGTGGCACGTATGGAGAACCAAGTAAGGCCGCCACTCTCCGGTGGTTGCAGAGTGGCGTCTGCGTGCTTCTGGTGCTGATGGACTGCTTGCCTCCCTAGGTGCCAGCAAGTCAAGGACCTGCGTCAGAAAGAGGCCAGGAGACTGAGATGTAAATCGCACTGTGGCAGTGGGTTTGTCTTGCTAGGCAGAGGAGCAGCAAGAGTACAATTCGTTGGCTTTAGATCGCGATCGCTGGCGTGCGGGAGCCCTAATTTTTAATCTTCGTTGCATAGGCGCTCGAGGGTCCTGTGTGGTTGTCGCATCAATGCTAGCGTGTTCGCTGTGCCATCGCGAGTTGCCAAAGGTGTGCTCCGCGAGCATGGGCGAGGTCTGTCCTGGGAAAGACGAAAGAATGTCGTGTCACAGCGTGCCTGTCTGCCAGAATTACCATCGAGAAGTCCTCGCTGCACAGCTCGAGCTATCTGCGCAGAACCAGGAAGTGAGCCAGGCGTTCTTGACATCTTACTTGCAGCTGGTCTTGTCTGCATTAAGGCATTAAGGGTCAAGTGTCCAAGCAGCCCATACAGGTTGCGCCACTCGACACAGCAACTTCAGCCTGCTGGAAAGGCATGCGCCGAGCTGCGTTCGGAGCTCACTGCGGCAGAGGCTGAGGCCATGTGAATGCCTGCATCTCGTAGATTCAGAAAGGCCTCTCGAAGCAACCATCGCCGGGAAATTTCGGGTCTCGACCGCCAACTGGATGCAGGTCAATCCGCTCCGGACCAAGCTCCAAGAGGTCACTCTTGCATGTGGGATCTGTCCCAGAATGTTCTCGCCAGCTGTGTTTTCGAGACGATGTGACTGGTTCGCTTCCCTCATTGGTCGACCTACGGCCGGCACGAAGACCTTCCGGCTCAGTTGATGGTGCTGTGGATGCCTCGCGTGCGTCAGGTGTCAGGCGAGAATTCATCTTTGTTGCATGAAGGCTGGAGACTTGTTCATACGCTTGTCTCGGCCTGGGCCAATGGTCTGTCCAGGACGCTCTCTGAGGGAGCAATTGGTGGAGTCTTTGCGAGAGGCTGGATTTTGAGTGGAGGCTTCTCTGTTTTCTTTTCATCGCGGCGGTCAGGCCTCACGCAATGGGGACCGACTCCTCGTGTCATGGGAGAGGCTCGTAGTCGAAGCGCGAAGCCATATCTTGCGCTCGGGCGTTGTCAGGTGCAGGGCCGCCAGCGAGGAGGTCTCCTGTCTCAAAGCGGAGTTGGCCCAAGCTCGCGAGGCCCGGCATGCGGCCCGGTGGCCTTGCGGCCTTCTGTTCGAGGGCCAAGAAGGGCCGGGCGTTTTCCAGGAGGCCGCCGAGGTGGCGGAGGCGCTCGTGGAAGAGCAGTCCCAGGCCCGCGGCTACCGGCTACCGGCGGCTAGCGGCTAGTGGCCAGCAGCGGCTGGCTTTGGTGGTCTCGGGTCGCGGCAGCGCTCGCGGGAGGCATCCGACCTGCGCTGCCGCCTGCGGAAGCCCGGCACTCACAGGGAAAGCTGAGAGCGGAACGTCGCGGCCGGAGTATCCTCCGAGGTCCGGACTGATGCCAGCACTGGCCGCCGAAGGCCGCGTGGCAGTGCCCTGGCCTCCGTTTCCCTCCCCACTTCTGTCCTGCGTGCCTATGTAGGAACTCCGGATCCTCGTGAACGCGAGGCCCGAGTCCAAGAGCCAAAAGGAGCAAAGGCAGTGGCATCAGATACCAACCAAGGCCGTGTGCAAATCTCCGCCGCTCTGGAGCCCTGCACAAGATCTGTGGCCGAAGGCACGAACTTCACAGGGCTTGCGCACTGACTGAACGGGATGGCGCTGCATGCGTCATGCGTCACCAGACAGGTGCCCTCCAGTCCTGCAAGCAGCTGGCAGCCCCCCTGTTCGCCGGAGTTCCTGTCACCCAAGCTCGAGCGCAACCAAAAAAGAAAGCTGCTTCGTAGCCGTCGTCTTTAGGAGACCTGGCTGCAAGCGTCGCAAGACCGGACAGGGCTCCGTGACTGCCTTTGCCTCTCTTTGCAAGCCGTCAAAGAAAGGATGCCAATGGCGAACATGAGCGCATCTGCTATGCAGTTCCAAGAAAGGCTTCCTTGCGGTCAAATCACAGACAACGCGAAAACATGACAATTCTGGAGTTCCGTTGTTGCGTGGGCGTTAGGCTTGTAGATAGCTTCTTGCAATGCCATGGCACACGGCTCGTTGATTGAGAGCGACGTCAAGGATCCTTTGGTTCATCTGTTCATATGCTTAGTTAGAGTCACAGCTACATGAGTGGAGCCTGGGATACGCTTTGGTGAGGCTGCCCTCGTTGCTGGCACGGCGGCAGCCTTGGGGTCCCTCCCTGAGTTTCAACGACTCTGTGCGTTTTGCTCCGGGACTGACCTCGACAGCCTCGGCTCAGGTTCGTTGCTGGCCTCCAACTGGCTTGGGTCCGCTTGTCGCCGCGGGTCCTGTCCCAAGCGCTGAAGCTAGCTAGATTGCAGCGAGATACTCCATGCGACATTGCCTGCTTCAATCCTTGCTTCGCCAAGGTAAGACGGAGACTGCACCGTGAGAAAAACCACAACGGCCAGGGGGAGAGCAATGGGGATAGGAGTGCTTCGCCGAGCATCTTATAGGTGCTGAGTAGGTCACTGCTTGCAGTTGGCAGGACCGCATCGTTGGGAGTTGTTTGCGAATGTGGAGCTATTATCCAGGGCAAATGCACTCCTGAGGACCCTGCCGAGGGCAATGACATGTTTTGTTTACCTTTACAGTTGCCGAGTGTTTCAGGGAATGCGTTGATGAGTAAATGGTCAGTGGTCGTATGTTTGCACGCAGTTTTCTGAACGCACACGCATACAAGCGTTTCCGAAGTACGTGTAGCCATAAACATATCTCGCTCGGGCTGTTGACATTCTTTGCATGGCCTACAGCAGATTTTGCTGCAAATGCCAAATTTATCCATCGATCTACGGTGCACTTTGCGTTGGTGAAGCTAGTTTCACTAAGCCGACAGCCATTCGTGTTGAACCTGTGTCTCAAGAGGGAGGTTTTCCTTCAAGCAAGCCATCTGCAAGCAACACATGTCAATCTTGTACGTTTCTTTATAGCCTTTGAGAAAGCACCCGATGCCAAACCGAGCGTTGCGATTACAACATGACCAAGCAACTATGACAGAAGGATTCGCTCTGGCCCAGAACCCGAATTTTGAGCGTGCAGAAGTGCGGTTTACCATAGACTCTTTTCGTAGTCTCCTCAATGCAATGAAACAGGTGCTCAGGTTGAAGATGCACCATGCTGATGATTGCCAGGTATCTACATATAATATAGGTCACATGGGTATGAGTGAGACTCGAGACTTCTGCGTGGCAAGACGCCCGATGCAGCCTGACAGGAAATTGCCAGACATAAAGCCTCGAACCGCCACAAGCGCAACATGCTGCGGCACAGCAGCAGGGAGGCGCGATCAGCATGAGGATGGAGACTTCCTGCATTTAGTCCGTCTTCTCTACATGGGTGAGCCAGAGCTTATCGGCTTGGCAGAGTCTTTCGTGCAACCTCCAGCAGCATTGTGGCTCTGATGGCAATTGCAACACACTTCTGAGATTTGCTTCTAGATTCGGTCTGTTGGGCCGCTGCAACTCCTAGAAGATCAAGCACGATGGAGGCACGCCAAATGTTGACAAGGCGCCGAAACCACTACAGCTTCTCTTTGTGGGTGCAGGTGATTGGTTTTCGGAGTGCCTTCTTCATTGACACTGCCTCGAGGCAGCTAGTCTTATTTGTGACATGACCTTAGAAGTGGAGTCTCGAGAGAGTTCGTGATTTTTGCAGGCTACTTTCTCCAGGTGGACAGTTCGAACCTTAGGGCTTAGGGCCGAGGCGGCCCAGGGCCTACGGCGCGTGCAGAGCGCAGCCTTCATCGAAAGAGCAGATGATGCAGAGGTCGCGGCGCCTGGCGTGGTGGACGAAGGTGCGACACTGTAGCAGACTTGCAAAATGTGCCAGACCCCATCTCTCTCTGTCTAAGGTCTTGCTGCTCTGTGCCAACATTCCTCTCGCCGCTGGGACTTGCAATGACGGCGCCCGCTGCAAATCCGTTCTACTATGCACGGTGATCTTCGTGCTCCGGGTGATGTTCCAGATGACCTTGTTCTGGTCGCGAGGAATTCCCTGGAAGGAGGTGGTTTTTGAGGTGGCAGAAGATTCTTGCTTGGTTCTCGCCTTTACGGGGTTGCCTCTGCAACAAATCAAACTCAAATCTCGTTCAAGCACCATTCCTGAACAAAAGTCTACGCTTCAGGAAGACATAACAAGGCCCTCAGCCCAAGACGTTGTTCGAAGCTCAGACGTGCTCTTTTAGAAAGGTCATGAGCTGTGATGGCCTGCGTCCCTTGGAGGCAGGTTGTGTGATCCCGATCTCCATCATCTCCATGGCATATGGAGCAGCTGCGAGGACATCCCACATCGACTCCTCCCAATTTTGGGGTCTTCTCGTGTTCCTGCTGGGCACCTGGCTGAATCTGTATCCAGAGTGGCAGCGACATGTGTGGAAGCGGCAGTCATGCCATCAAGGCCGTTTGTACACGGAGGGGTTGTTTTCACTGGCGCGACACATCAATTACACTGGGGAGATTTTATCTTTCGTTGGCTTCTCCCTTGTCACGGGCGCGTTTTGGACAATGTGGGTGCCGGCCGCCATGGCACTCGGAATGTGCACATTGAGCATCCGCGAGATTGAGTTCTACCTCAGTCAAAGGTACAAGGAGGATTGGCCCAGCTATGTTAAGGCAGTTCCATGGCTGATGATCCCTGGCATCTTCTAGCTGTGCAGAGTGAATCCAAGATGTGCAAAGTGGTGGCCGTGTGAGTCTCGGGCTACGAGCATGTCTTGAACAGCTTACCACGGTGCTCCTCATCTCCCAATCAGGATCGGGGAGATCTCCGTGCTCTCGCCCATGAGCGACCACACAAGCAATGCAGCCCCCGCCCGGTTGCTAGATGAAGGGGCGAAGAGGAATTCGAGACCACAAGCTCCAGCCACTGCCGGCCAGCGACCAGAAGGGGTGCAAGCTCATAGTACCCTTGCAGACGACATGAGGTGCGGAAAGGTGTCGAGCGCTTCTCTGAAGCTTGTTCCCTATGCCCGTGGGCTTTTTGCGGCCCCTGACCTGGTCAGGTTGTGGCTTGCGAGGAGGTATCCGAGTACCGCGCCGCCGTTCTGTAACCGACTCAGCCAGGGGACAGGGAGCTAGCTCTGAAGCTTTTCCCGGGCCCCGGCCTTGTCCAGCTGCTCCCGCTTTTCGGCCCTTGTCAGGGCTTTGGTGAACTCGAACGACGTGGTCTTGGAGGCCCTCCACTCACCGTGCCTTTTCTCAGGACGAATGGGCTTGTTCAGGTGGGTTCGCATGTGGGCGGCACAACCAAGGCCACGGCTGTGCTTGCGCGGAACACCTCATTTTGCCATGTAGGTGGCGATGTCGGATGCTGTTTCCAGGCTCTAGTGGAATTCGCGGATGTTCGTGGCACAGTCGTCGAGCGTCAGCGAATTCTGAAGCACTGAGCGGCTAAGCCTTCAAGCCTTCAGCATGCATCCATAGATATCCAACATGAATCAACTACAGACGTCATCCATACAAGAGGCCGCCAGGGTACGCTGTGTGAAAAAGCGCTAAAGCGCGGTGCCCGTACTTCCCAACGTTCGCTTTCCAAGTACTTCGCCCAACACGTTCCAACTTATTGCAAGCTCGTTGCAGCTTTCGGCCGTGCAAGAGGAGTGACGCTTCGTTTTGGCAGCACACCTGGGTGCCCTGAACGAATCGTCCGTGCCCCGCCCATGAATCAAACGGGCCTTGAAACCTCAGTGCCATTACCATTGACAGTGCATGACGCTGTTACAGCAGACTCTGCTTGGTTGCGTTTCGTACACTGTACAGCCGAAGCATCCCTTGACGCAATTCGTACTGGACAGGTGATCGCATCCGTGGCTGGTCGGGTAGTTGGTGTTGACCAGCAGCCAGAACTCGTGGCGCAGGCGCGAACCTGCCCCGCGGCTTTTGATGGCTCACTGTTTCGATAGGCTGAAAACATGGCATCAGGCTCGCCAAAACTATCCGGAAATCCAGTTCGAGGACCTTTGGCCTGCGGTATCCGATTCAGCTGGGAAGTAGAACAGCTCGAACACATGATCTTGAAGTTCCACAACAAATTTCCATGGTTGAGCTACCAGGGCAAGGAGCTGCGGTGACCGTCAGTCCCGTGCAGATGACTTTGATGCTGTCCCTGTCCCTGGCAGAACTTCGATGCCTTTGACTCCACAAAGCTGGTGGTGCAGATCTTGGGCTGTTCGAAGCACTGAGCACGAGAGCGGCTTTCCCCTGCATCGCCACGGTAGCACCGAATGGCTGATTCTGACGGAGGCTTTGGCCAAGTCACTTCCTCAGCGCATCACCAAGGCCTGGGAAGGGCTAAGAGAGGCAGGCGCCTTTAATTTTCATCGCTTCTTCGTCAGTTCGGCAAATGGTTGGGTCAAGCTCCGAAGATGTAGTCCTGGCAGCATCCCCAAGTTGCATCTGCGAAGAGCCAGGCCACATAAGAAGGGGTAGCGCTTCCGCCGCATCCCAACCCCCCTTTGCCTCCCCTTCCACCCGGAGGTTTGCATCGACATCAGCGGCAGCCGTGACCTGGCCACTGCGCCGTCCTCAGCGTTTCAGCATGGCCAGTTCAACACGCGACCAGAGAAGGGCAGACCTGGTTGAACAAGAAGTTCACGAGAATGCGATGCCTGTGCCAGATGCGCAGTCTGATCCCTTAAAACGCCTGACATAACGAGGTGTTTGGCAGAGTTGTTTGACATGATGGCTTCTGTGGTGTAAGATTTACAGGTAATCAGACTGATGGACTTAATTGACAAGACGATCAACCCGGACATAATGCTCGTGAAGTCACAGGCACCCCTCGGCGCACGTTCCGTGAAGCCTGGTGATAGGACATGCCGTGCCCAAACTCTTCGTATGTGTCGCAGGCATTGAAGAAGATGCTGTTACGAGCTCGTCTATGGATCGAGCATCCTTTGAATGCCAAAGTGCTTTGATCACAGCTTGTCTGTGCTTTTGCTTGGTGGCTCCATAAGCTGTGACTTGACCCCGGGCTCAACACGAAAACCCGACAACATAGCCGCAAGGTCTCGCCCAGTCAACTCACGGCAAGCGACCGGTGTGGACAGCCTGTATCACTATAGCACTCTTAAGAGCTTAAGACTAGAGGATGCCCTGCGTGAGCGCCCTGTCCAGTCAGAACTCGCAGCTAAAGCACGAGGAGAAAACAGCCGAGCTTGCGGACCGTAGCGAGAAGCAGAGGCAGCAGAGAGCGAGCGAGTGAGCGTCCGACTCAGGGCACTGGGTTTTTAGCGCCAAGAAAAGGCGCTGTGCTTCCGCGGGAGCTGATGGCTCGAGATTGCCAAGATGCGCGCGCAGAAGCAGAAGTCCAGACAAAGACAGGCTGCTATGACATCCAAGCGGATGAAATCGCTCACCCGCCTCAAGAGTCGATCACAAGAGTACATTAAGGGAGCGGTTCCCGGCCATGCCCGTGCTGTCGCTGCCGCGGTGACCCGGCAGGAGGCGCTCAGCTGTGCGCCCGAAAGGGTTTCTGCTTATGTCAACGCTGCTCTGCACAGCTCCGCAGGCACTGGCGAGCTCCCTTCTTTGATGGGTGGCAAGTGCTGCACTGACCGGAAACCGCGGCCTCAAGGATGGCGGGAGAAGCCGTGGCGGGCCCAGCAGGGCACAACTCCCACTGCTTCCACGGTGAGTCTCCGAGGCTCCCCAACAAGATGGGTGCGAGCCTCCGGCAAGCCTGGGCTGAAGGCTCGAAGATACCTGGCTCCTGGGAGGAGAAGCAAACTCTTTGATTCCATCATGGGGTTCAGGTGTCAGCGGTCAAGCGCTCTTCGTCGTCTACCTGGACAACGAGGCAGAAGGGTGTCAGCAACACGTGTAGATGTCACCACCGATAACCAGTAATTATCTGCTATGATATCAATCCAACACTTCGACGAGGAAGGCCCTTCTCAAGGGTGAATGAGTGCTTTTGTTGGGAGGGTGAAGTGGACCCTCCCCCGCCCTCCCTTGCTTACTGCCTCTGACCATGGCAGACCCCGTCCCCACCACAAAAACGGGAGTTCTGGTTTTAGTCCAATGAGGACAAGTCCATCGGCATCGAGTTGGAGACGGACTCGCTCGAGATCAAGGCTGGAGATCAGCTGAGCTTAGGAGGGCCAGGGGCTCTGGGTGCCTTTTGCTGTGCCAGGCGGTGACTCCAGGAGGACTCTTGGAGAAGTACTGTGAGCAGGAGAATGAGTTCGTTTGTCCAGGCGGGTCCAGAGCTCCGGGTGGGAAGGTCGTGCATTCAGTCTGCCTGACTGGGAGGTGACAAGATCTATTCCGTGAATGACTTCACCGTGGCCTGCCCGAGTTCAAAGCATGGGATGTGCAGCGCCAGTGATGGTGCTGTTCATGGAGTCCGGATCCGCATTTAAGGACAAGACTGACGTTATCCGCCAGTTGAAGGAGCTGCCTGGCAGCATGAAACGACTCCTCTTATCTTGCTGCTCAGCTCGTGACACCCTTCGGCCATACCCGTACCCACTATGCCTATACTGCCTAGGGAGTCACAGCTTGAGATTATGTTCTCGAAGCTGATCGTGGATGCCCGGCAGCATGAGCACCACCAGCGAAGCAGGGACCTGATTCTCCATGGAGCGCCGAGGATGCGAAGATCATTAAGAAACCAGGGAAGAAGCTGGGTGCAGCCACAGATACCGAGACCTTCGAACCTCGGCCGTGACATGCACAACCCTAGCCGCTAGCCTTTCTTGAAGAGCGGGTGGGCTCGCCGAGACCATCCTCAAGATCGCGGATGAGAGTCTCATCGCTGACTGGAACAAGCAGAATCCAAAGGACACGAAGTGACCACCACTTCCATCACGAGCCCGACATGAGCATGAGCTGCGTGAGCTGAGCGCGAGCTGAGTGAGCTGCCCATGCAGGAGAGGATTTGCATTGGAGACAGGGTGATAGCCGTCAACGGCATTGTTGACAATGAGAAGGCTCCTTCGACATCTGATTGTTGCACTTGCAACTTTGGGCAAACAGTTTTGCCGAAGCATCGCTCGAAGGCAAAGCAGGAGATCGGCTCCAAAGAGGAGCTCTTGCTGCCGAGAGCTCGTTTATCTTCCGTGGCTCAATGTCGGTATTGTTGCATTGAGCCGCCCCAAGGCGCGTGATGCGAGGTCCACGAAGGGCTGAGCAGGATGCTTCAAGACGCATAGCTTACTGTGGACGATGCCCAAAGCATCTCTGGGCCGCGGCTGTCTTGCGTGAGGACCCAATGGGCGCATCGGGCAAGCTTCCTCCTCCGAAGGCGCCGTGCTGCAATGTGAGATTGTGAGGGCTGACATGTGTAAACGCCCTGAGCCCCCCAGAAGCCTTCAGAGCACTGCTCAAGGATCCTGATGGTAAGGGCGGGAAGCCACCCCCGCCTGAGAAGCGGCGGCCCGAGCTTGAAGCATCCGTTTCTTTTCGACGGCTGTCCCGCCAAGGCCGACCATGAAGCTCTAGACGGCCCGGGCCCAGCTAGGTGTCTTGCGAAAGCCTCTTCAGAACACAGATGACGCGTAGCCTTGGAATTGTGTTCTGCGTTCTGGGCCGATCTGCAGCTCCAAGTTCCGGATCGTCGAACCGCCCTTGTTGCAAGAGCATTGCGACATCGGTGTCCGTTAATGTCGTCGGAAGCCAAAAAGGGGTTTTGAGCAAACGCAGTTACAGGAGAGAGTGGGGATGCCCGTAAGCGGATCAAAGCCCCGTTTGGCTTCCAATCACAATGCAGGTGAGGTCTCACAACTTGAGGCTGCTCCTCATCTTCGAGACCCCTAGGCCCGTAGGCCCTAGGCTCTTGCTTAGTGACTTGCAAAAAGGTGCCGATGCCGGAGAGCTTTGTGTGACACCTCGATACAGGATCATCTAAAGGAAGAGGCAGTGGCAGCAGCTTGTGTGTGTGTGTGTGTGTGTGTGTGTTTGTGTGCGTCTTCACAGGGGGGTGCAGGGATTTTATCGTGCGTGTGTATTGACATTTCCGCCAGATGCCAATCCGCTTTCTGCCTCGTATTTCGTATAGTGACTGAACTTCGTATGGTCATCGATATATTCAGAGCTGTCGAAGGCAACCAACTCCCTTTGCCAGTGAGAGTCCCAACAACTGTCAGCACGGTCTTACGCACTATTCAGCCAGCTATTACGTCACAAGGATCCATCAGCCACCCGAAGCTTTGACAATCGCTGCTGTGCCCGCCCCGATGCGACATGAATATGGCAGCCACATGTCGAAGCAGGAGCTGCTGAAGAACTCATCTCAACTTTCCGGAATGAATGCGCCTGCCCGACCTCTGCCTTGCCAGGACTGTAGGGTCACCTTCGACCATCTGCCGGGGCAGATTGAGAGAAACAAGACAGGCAGGCCCGCAAGAGCCTCAGAGCCTGTCCTCAGCCTGTCCTCGCCTGGCCAGGCCTGCCGAAACCGGTGGGCCACACTCCGAGCTACAGATCGGACTGACGCCGCTTCTCTGCCAGAACCACTGGTCTTTTTCTGTCCTCGAAGTCCGGGAAGGACCGAAGGCGGTTGTCATCCAGATCGGCCTCGCCGACCAAAAAGCCGAGTCCTCATTGTATTGTAGGTCGAGAGGAGGCGGCCGATGCCCAGCCCTGCCTAGCCGTGTGTATGTTTCAGTCTCTGAGGCTCAGCGGTTCGGCGACGAGCACGGTCGACATGGGTCTGCTGCCTCTAATGTGAATGTTGAAGCATGCCGAAGCCACGAGTCTGCCGTTGCGGTCGGACAGAGAAGACGTTACGAGGTACTAGCAGCTGGGCGACACGAGCGATGTCGCGGCTCACGGACAGTGCCAGTGCCGATGAGGTTCCTTGCTTCGCCTTCCCGACGCTCGTGCTGAGACTTCAGCTCAGGAAGAGCTTGAGTCGCACAGGGAGGAGATCAAACCGCTCAATCCCCAAGAGGAGGCCGGCGGCAACGTATCCCCCAAACTACGGTTGCGAGTGGCACATCTGACGGGTTCACGGTTTCTGAGCCCTCCAGGACTTGCTGAACGAGCAGTTCCACAGGGCTCAGGACCGCAGTGGCTGAGACTCTGGGGCTGAAGTATACTGAAGTGATCCGCCGGGTCAGGAAGACATGGAGAAGCTCCTGGTGCACGGCCTAAGTCGAGCAGAGCGCTCCGAGGGGGTCCGAAAGGAAGATTCAATGAGAAGGTGTGGATCCCCGTCTCGCTGGTCCTCGGCTCCAAGAAGGAGCTTGGCATGGTCCCTACTGTAGCGGCCGCATCCTGCGCGAATCGAGGTTCCGCAGATCACAGGCAGGAAGTGGAGAACGCTTTGCGCCTTGCCACTTCTCTGAGGAATCAGCCTGGGGGGGACCCCTGCCTTTGCCCCAGTGGCTCCGCGGATGTGTGAAGTGCTCCTGCCATATGACACAGCCAGCCAGGCAACACAGAGCATGGCGGACAGCATCCCGGACATTGCCGAGGCCGTTAGATGTAGCCCGTGGATTTGGGCATCAAATCTTCACGATTGAATTGATCTTCCTGCAGACTTCCCACAAGGAGAGGGGAGTGTTGGAGTGCTTTTCACCGCACGGCGGAAGCTAGGGGGACATGAAAGGAATTGAGCAACCGCCACGAGGTGACCAAAGTGGAGCCTCACGGGCTGCTTGAAACCTACCTGAGCCCTACGGACAAAGGAGTCGTGCGTCTAAGGTCGGCCGGCTTCCCAGTGCGTAGTAGCCGCATGTTGTCACTGTCACCGCATATGGTGTGAGGTCGATGGCCACTGGGGCCGCCACGGTTTAGAGACGCTTCGGAAGACACTGCGGCAGTTAGGCAGCGTTCTGCATGCACGAGATCCTTTCGTTCTCCTCTACTATGTGATACAGCTTCGTCAGGTTCTACAACAGAGCCTTGCGCGGTCGAATTGCTATTCTCGCGAGAGGCTCCTGCTCGCCAACTTGGATAGAATTCCTTTGCTGGTGCTCTGCAGGCGAGATTTAAGTTCGGGTACAAGATCCGGGAGTGCGTGGGCAGCCCAGTGCCCCTGCGCCCGCTGCGCCCAGTAACTTCTAGAACGCTGTCAGGATGGCACAGCGCTGCACCTGGCGGCGCTTCATCAGCTCGGGGCTTCGCACGGGCTCGAATACGCACAGGCGGGCCGTTCTGGCCGCAAGGGTAGTTTTGCGAGGCGTGGCGAGACCTTGCTCCATCAGCTCCTTCAGAGAAGAGCAGATCCATCTCAGGAAGGGCTGCGCCGAAAAGGAGTCCGTGC